TGTGGGTGATTCCCCATGATTTCAAAGATCTCCCCTCTATGGATGACTCTTAGATCTGTAGCCCAGAGCCCTGAAACTCAAGTTGGGGCTGTTGCTGGAAACAACTACATGGGCCTCTCCTCGTAGTCTAGGTCACAGAACGGTGACCTCAGACCATTTGGATTTATTATCTGGCAGCTACTTGCTTCGAAAGAGACTGTTTTAGCAAACAAGGTAGAAGAAGCTCTATCACCTTTGTGATCTAGCATTGGAAGTTATCTCCTCTCATTTTTGCCATGTTCTGTCAGTTATATATAACGGCCCCAGGGGAGGGGAATTAGACTCTACCTCTGGAAAGGGTAATGGCAAGGTTCTAAAGGAGTATGTTGGATAGACAATATTGGTGTTGCCATTTTTAGAAAAATACAATCTGTGGCAATGGATCAACCAGTATTTGTTACATACTAAACTTGTTTCTGGCTAAACTCCTTACTCCTTCCCCCTCCCATGATTTTTATTATTAACTTCTCTGTTTCTATCAATGATACAATAAAGGTGAAACTTTGTTATTATCCCTGACTAGAGTGGGCATCAGTCTACTCTTGTAACTTTAAAACCATAATCTAGGGTGGCTCAGTTGTTAAGCGTGTGCCTTCCGCTCAGGTCGTGATCCCAGCGTCCTGGGATAGAGCCCCGCGTCGAGCTCCCTGCTCCGCAGGAAGCCGGCTTCCCCCTCTCCCTCTGCCCCTGTTTGTGTACCCTCTTTCGCTGTGTCTCTCTCTGTCAAATGAATTTTAAAACCTTAAAACAACAAACAAACAAACAAACAAACAAACTACCATCTAATGAAACACTGGAAAGACAGAGTGAATACCAGAAGGGGAAGGCACCCTTCCTGAGAAGTAGATAATCAAGAATTGCTTTGATTCTGTAGGTATTTGTATGCCAGGACAATGCCAGCTGCTGAGGATGTGAAGTCAAAGACTCCTTCCCCCCTCCTCCTCCTTCTCTTCTTCCCTTAGATTTGGTTCCTGCTCTCTAGAAGCTTTTACTCTGGGGCGAAAAATGTGGCTAAGGCGCTCTGAAAAAACAGTTTCACAGTTTCTGATAAAGTTAAAAACACCACATGACCACCAGTCTCATTCTGAGGTATTTATCCAAGTGAAATAAAAACCTAAGTTCATACAAATACCTGCTTGTGAATATTATAATGGCTTTATTAATAATCTCCCCAAACTGAAAACAACCCAAATGTCCCTCAGCAGGGGAATGGATAAGCAAATACATAGAATGAAATGCTACTCATGAAGAGGAGGAGGAGAAAGTACTTAAACAAGCAACAGTATGGCTGAATCTTAAGTGCATTATGCTAAGTGAAAAGAAGCCAGCCTCAATAGGCTACATACTCTATGTTTTTATTTATATGATATTCTAAGGCAAAACTATAAGGACAGAAAACATAACAGTGGTTTAGGGGCCAAGAGTGGGGGTTAGTGCTGACTACAAAGGGTTATTGAGGGGACTCTAGTGGATGGTGGGACTATTTTGTACCTCAGTTTTAGTGGTATTACACACACCTGTATGCACTTGTCAAAAGTTGCAGAATGGCCACGAAAAATGCTGCATTTCACTGTATATAAATTATACCTTAAATATATATATATTTTTAAATTTTATATATAAAATAAAATTTAAAAATATATAAAATTACAGGCACAGGTGGCACAGCATGAGAGAGGTGGACGTTGCATGGCAAGCTGGTTAGGGACCTGGGCTCAGTAATCAGTCAGCCTGGGCTAGAAAGTCCTGGCTGGGATTTGGAGAAGGTACGCACTTCTTCCAGGTGCCTAGTTGGCTTTTTTAGTGCTCCAAAGTGCCATCCCCAGGATTACAAGAGAGGATGAAAGTAAAGCCCTTAATGAGGTGGTTAGCATGTAACAAGCATTAGTATTGCTTTTTTTCTTAAAAATAACAGCTCAAGGGGTGAGGTCTGTGGTCTAAGGGAGGGGATTAAAAAAAGCTTCACAGAGGTAATAACATAAGATTTAGGCTTTTATTTATTTTTAAAGATTTTATTTATTTATTTGACACAGACACACACACACACACACAGCGAAAGAAGGAACACAAGCAGCAGGAGAGGGAGAAGCAGACTCCCCACTGCAGGGCTCAATCCCAGGACCCTGGGATCACGACCTGAGCTGAAGGCAGATGCTTAACAACTGAGCCACCCAGGCGCCCCTGATTTAGGCTTTTAAAGATGAGCAGGAGTTATGCAGTTTGGCTACAAGGGGGGGGGTAAATGTTGGGGAAGACATTGTAACAAGAGGGAATAGCATGTGCAAAGGCTAAAACAGAATGGCATATTTGAGGACCTTTATTATTTATTTTTTATTAAGATTTTATTTATTTATTTGACAGAGGGAGACACAGCGAGAGAGGGAACACAAGCAGAGGGAGTGGGAAAGGGAGAAGCAGGCTTCCCTCTGAGCAGGGAGCCTGATGCGGGGCTTGATCCCTGGACCCTGGGATCATGACCTGAGCTGAAGGCAGACCTTAATGACTGAGCCACCCAGGCACCCCTGAGGACCTTTATTTTTTAAAAAGATTTTAGTGATTGATTGATTGATTGATTCTTTCATTTGAGAGTGAGCTAGCGGAGTGAGCTGGGGTAGGGGGGAGGAGCAGAGGGAGAGTGACAAGCAAACTCAATGCTGAGCGTGGAGCCTGATGGGGGCTCAATCCCCTGATCTGAGCCAAAATCAAGAGTGGGACGCCTAGGGTGCCTGGGTGGCTCAGTCAGTTAAGTGTTTGCCTTTGGCTCAGGTCATGATCCCAGGGTCCTGGGATTGAGTCCCAAGGTGGGCTCCCTGCTCAGCGGGGAGTCTGCCTCTCCCTTTGTCCCTCCCCCTGCTCGTGCTCTCTCTCTCTCTCAAATAAGTAAATAAATAAATAACAAATAAATAAAATCTTAAGGAAAAAAGAAGAGTGGGATGCCTAACCAACTGAGCCCACTAGGCACCTCTGAGGACCTTTAAATATGGGCATATCTGAAGCAATAAGCTCAGGAGAAAAATGAAGGGGAAGGGGATGATATGGGTCTAGAGTTCAGCAGAATGAGATTTTGAAGGGTCCGTTTGAGATTCTGCATTTCTAACAGGTTTCCAAGGGATGCTAATGCTACTGTGGTTCATTGACCACATTTTAAGCAGCAAGGACATAAAGATCAAGGGAATAAAGTATTGCAGATAATAGGGAGTGGTCAATCACACTGAAGATGGGAAAGCTCTAAGTCAAGATCGGGACTGAAAAACTCCAGTTATCAATTTGTGGGTTGAGGTATCTAAGAGCAAGCATTAGAATAGAAGCCACACTGGAGTAGTTGATGATTGCTTGCGGGGTATGGAAATTGGGTGAGTATAAATAACTTTTGTGTAGTTTGGCTTTGAAAGGGAACAGAGAGGTAGGGAGGCAGTTGGGGGGGGGAATTGTTTTTACTATTAACTTTTAAGATGGAAGAACTTTGAGTATTTTATTTTTTTATTTTATTATTTTTTTATTATTATGTTATGTTAGTCACCATACATTACCTCATTAGTTTTTGATGTAGTGTTCCATGATTCATTGTTTGTGTATAACACCCAGTGCTCCATGCAGAACTTGCCCTCCTGGGGGGCCTGGGTGGCTCAGTCGTTAAGCATCTGCCTTCAGCTCAGGTCATGATCCCAGGGTCCTGGGATCGGCCCGCATTGAGCTCTCTTCTCCGCGGGAGGCCTGCTTCTCCCTCTCCCACTCCCCCTGCCTGTGTTCCCTCTCTCGCTGTGTCTCTCTCTGTCAAATGAATTAATAAAATTTAAAAAAAAAAAAAAAAAGAATTTGCCCTCCTTAATACCCATCACCAGGCTAACCCATCCCCCCAACCCCCTTGAGTATTTTATTTTTTACTTTTTAAAGTAAGCTCTATATCCAATATGGAGCTTGAATTCACAACCCCGAGATCACGAGTTGCAGGCTCTACCTGTTGAGCCAGCCAGCTCAACTTTTGAGTATTTTAAAAAACTGTTGAGGTGCGCCTGGGTGGCTCAGTCGGTTAAGTGAGGGACTCCATCTTAGCTCAGGTTTTGATCTCAGGGTCATGAGTTCAAGCCCCTCCTTGGGCTCCAAGCTGGGTATGGAGCCTACTTTAAAAAAAAAAAAACCTGTTGAGAAGGATCCTATAAAAAAGGGAGAGGTTGGATACACAAAAAAGAATGGGATGACCTGAGAAGGGTTGAGTTGTCAGATATAGAGATAAAAATATAGGATGCCCAGTTAAATCCGAATTTCAGAAAAACGAGTAACTTTTCAGTGGAAATATGTCCCCAATACCTGTATCTTACCTGCCAACCCCCAGAAGGGAGATTTTTTTAGGCAAAAGGGTTATAGCCCCTGATATGGTACCAGGAGGGGGTCGGAGTTGTGTAGTCCTCAGCTGTCACATTTCAAGACTCTAGAATGAGTTTCCAGTTCTACCAGAACCGTTAACAAGTAGAGTTTAACTGCTTTATATTTCAGCTTTTGTCGTTTCACCATTTTCTCTAGGATGGCAAACGGGCAGGAAAATGCTGGGTGAAAAGCTGTGGAAAAGTTCTACTGTTGAAAATCAGCTCGTCAATGATGAAGAGCTTTTTTGAACTGCGAACGGGCTCTGGATTGGGTGCATAGGACGGTGAGTCACAGGGTGTCTGGCCGGGATCCAACTCTGGACACCACCAACTCTACTCAACTCAAGGGCAGGCAGGGAGTCCCATCCCAGGAACCCGCAGGCGCCTGCGCCCTGCCCCAGCCCCACCCCCTCCTAGCCCGGCATCCGGGGCTCAGGCAGGGGCGTGTCCGGGGGAGAGGGGTGGGGGGCAGCGGAAAGGAAGGATGTCGTGGGAGGCTGGATAAGCGGGTAGGGAGGCGAGGCGGGGCGGGGGCGGAGCAAGGGGCGTGACGGAACGAGCGCGCTGTCACGTGATGTGCGTGGCGACGTGTCGGCCATCTTGTGTTGTTGAGGCTGAGGACTGACTTGGGTTCTGAGAGACTCCCTGTCCCGGACCGCAGGTAACCAGCGACTCCGTCTCTCTCCCCTGCCCGGCTCCGCTTCGCGTCCCGACTCCGCCGTCTCCCGCCACCCTACACGGAGCCGCCGGGGCCTCCCGCCCGCGCTCGCGTCCTCGCCGCTCCAGCCCGACCCGGCCCAGCCGCATGGACACCCACAGGCCGCCCCGGCAGCGGCTGCGGCCGGCTCGGGCGTCAGGCGAGGGGACAGGTCAGGTGCGGGGCCGGAGGGAGCCTCCTCCCCGGCGGGGAGCACGCCGGGCCCGGGCGCGTCTCGGCCGCCGAGCCCGGGAGCCCCCTGTTCCAGGGCCCGTTGACATCGCGGGGGGAGTCGAGGAAGGGAAGAGGGTGGTGGGGTGGGCAGTGTCAGGCCGATTTGCTCGGGGCCAGAGGGTTTCCCTTCTGCTACCTGCTCCCCGGGCCGGCCACCCGCCCAGCAAGGGGGTGCCCGGAGTAACAGCTGCTTCGGCCAGACAGCTGCTCCTGCCGGTCCTCCTCCCCACACCTGGCCTCCGGGAGGTGCGCCTTTGCCTTCCTGACCGAGCATCTGCACTGGGGAGACTCCTTCCGTCGCGAAAGGACTGGGTCTGGACCAGGCCTTAGGCAAGGTGGAGCCATGATCTGAACCTGGGACGAGGTTGGGAAAGTCAAGCCCGAGGCAGCTCTGGGACCCGAACATTCACGTCAGGTTGAAATGGGCATTAGTCTTTACGTGTCAGCAGTTTCCCACGAAGCACTTTGAATACTTCAGTTTTGTGACTGAAACATAAATCAGATTTATGTTTTCGACCAGAGAAGGGTGTATGAAAGCAGCAGCTTGTATGATCGTGTTTGGGAAGCAGTAACGTTGATTTGCATTTATGTAGCATTGTGTTTTGTTTTTTTTTTCCTTTTCCTGAAAGTTAAGGCACTTAAGCACACCTAGTTTCTCTGTAGGGAAGGTAAGTATTCCAGTTAAACTTAGAAGAAACTGAGGATGGGGCCAGAAGCTGTGAACAGTTTCTTATCCAGTGTTACATATCTTGAATTATAGGCAGTTTGGATTCCCAGTGTTGTGTGCAGGGAAGATGTTCTCTCCTGTAGTATTTCCTTTTTAGAATCTAATGACTTCTTAGATTTCAAACAATTTCCTCTTGTCAGTCCTTTCTGTACATTAACTTTCATCCATCTAATATTTGCAGTTCTAGCCTTACAGAGTTTGTCCATTTTGGTTAGAGCACAAATGTGTTCCCTCATTCATTGATGATTTTATGTTTTCCCAGTTAGGGTACCAGATTTTGGAGTGCTCAAACTGGATGGAATATGTGCTTTTCTGTTACATCAGATGTTGACATCAGTAGAGGACACCAGGAAAAAAATTTAGAAGTTGCATGTATCTGGAAAAATGTCACACAGTTCTTTACATCACCATTGAGTACACTGGTAATGGTAATGATTTATTGGGCAAGAGCTTTACACCTTTTCTATACTTGACAGGGCATTTTAAGATTTTGAGACTGAGGAAGAGGAAGGGACTATGTACTTCCATTTATTCATTCATTCGTGCATTCATTTATTTGACAACTATTGAGACTCTACTACACTGTTGAGTGCTGGGAGCAAAACAGACCAAAAATTCCTTTCTCAGTGGAGCTCATTTCTACACAGATAAATAACAGCTCAGGTAAAATATATAGTGTTGTGGTGAATGACGTGGAAAAAAAAATGAGACAGGGAAATAGCATGATAGGGATTTGGGGGTTAATTTGTGGGGGGGCTGTTAATTTTAAGTAGAGTGCCCTGGGAAGGCTGCATAGAGAAGCTTATGTTTGAGGAAGGACCTGACACCGGTGAAGGAGCAATTCCTGTAGGTATGTGGGGAAGGAATGCTCCAGGCTAGGGAAGCTAGGGCAAAGATAACTGAGGCAAAAACTGAAGTGGGAGCGGGTCAGACGCTGGGAAAAATATGGAGGGTAGCTTAGCCAGAGAGGCACAAGCGAGAGGGAGGCCAGTAGAACATGTGTACCTTACTCATTGGTACTAAGATGAGAGGGGTTATTCAGTGACTTAGAAATTTTTTCCATGCCTCTTGTGACTATTAGAAAGGGAGATCAGATTCTGGAGATTGGGCCAGTATGCCCAAATCCCCTTCCCTCCATATGACATGCTACACCCCAGTTTGGAAAAATTCAGGCTGCTCATATATCTGAGGAAATTGCCATGAAATATCTTTCTTAAACTTTTATTTTTTTATTTTTATTTTTTAAGATTTTATTTATTCATGAGAGAGAGAGAGAGAGGCAGAGGCAGAGGGAGAAGCAGGCTCCCCAAGGAGCAGGGAGCCCGATGCGGGACTCGATCCCGGGACCCCAGGATCATGACCTGAGCCGAAGGCAGACGCTTAACCATCTGAGCCACTCAGGCGCCCTGTTTCTTAAACATTTTTAAATGAGATGGGTGATAAACTGCCTAAGAGATTTCTCAAAAGGAGTTGCTTTCAAAGAAGGGGGTCTTTGGAATATTTCTGAATATTTGAAAATGTAGGGAAATTAATTTGCTTTGAAGTTTAGACACATCATTAAGAAATATAACTTGAAAGAATGATTGAATCAGCATATTAAATTACATTGTTCTTTTTATTTTTATTTTAAAAAAAATTTTTTTTAAAGATTTTATTTATTTGAGAGAGAGAGAATGAGAGACAGAGAGCATGAGAGGGAAGAGGGTCAGAGGGAGAAGCAGACTCCCCGCTGAGCAGGGAGCCCGATGCGGGACTCGATCCCGGGACTCCAGGATCATGACCTGAGCCGAAGGCAGTCGCTCAACCAACTGAGCCACCCAGGCACGCTACATTGTTCTTTTTAAAAAAATTTTTTTGAAAGATTTTATTTGACAGGGATACAGCGAGAAAGGGAACACAAGCAGGGGGAGTGGGAGAGGGAGAAGCAGGCTTCCCACTGAGCAGGGAGCCTGATGCAGGGCTCCATCCCAGGACCCTGGGATCATGACCTGAGCTGAAGGCAGAGGCTTAACCGACGGAGCCACCCAGGCGTTCCTTAATTTACGTTCTTAATCTGATTAGTAAGAATTAAGAATTTCTCTTAATTCTGTTCTGTCCAGCCTAGTTTTAAATTTCTCAGGGTTTCTTCCACTAATTTGTATTTTATAAATTTTACATGTATAGAACTTTTTGTGCTGAGTTTTTTATTTCTCCACTTTTACTTTTCGGACTACTTCTCCAATTCTTTGATACTTACAAGCTTTTTTCTTTGGAATTTTTTTTTCCTGATTCTCGTCCAGCTTATCTCCATATGCTTATTACTGAGCTTTCAAAAATGTTTTCTTTCATTTTAATTCACCTGAGGAATTTAGTATCTTGGTTTTGAAATGCTCTTGCTGGTGAGTCAAGTTGCATTTATGAAAAATAATTTGTCATAGCTTGCTTGAAGCTCATGAGAAGAGAGGAATTACAACTTCAGGGTGTGAGCAGAGCTCCTTGTCTAAAAGGAGACATGACAGTGATAGGGATGAAATGGTATTTTAACGAATTGCCTTTTTCCCTCTTGTTCCTTTGTTGAATTTTTGAAATGACATTTCCATATTCTGTCTTTGATGTCATATCAGCTCATTTGTTTTCATGACTCTGCATTTTAATACTCTATGTTTTTTTGGTGTGTGTGTGTGTGGACTTTCACACTGGAAGATGACACTACTGATAGTGATTGTTGTCTGGGAGGACTTTTTGGGTGAAAAGATTATTCCTGTCCCTTTTACCCTTGCCATTCTAAAAGATGTTTGATTTGTGCCATTTTCAAAGACTGACTTCATTTGCAGTTCTCTATTATCCCCTGCTGATTAAATTTTCAGTACTTTGTTTTATTCTATTTCTTATAGATTGTAGTGGGACCAGTCTCATTAGGTTGAATCTACAGCCTATGTTGGTGTTAATCCGGGTATCTTAGAGGCAAGTTAAATGTCCATTTTCCTTCAGCAGTTTGAATTGCCTTAACATTATTTGGTCATCATTGTAAAACTCTTGAACCCAAACCTATTTTTCCCCTTTTAATCCTCCTCTAGGATTTTATGGTGATAAAGTTCTAGGATTTCCATTCATTTTTAATGTCCTGAAAAGTCACATATTTTTAAATATATAAGCAGATTTTCATTCCATAGGCAAGCTTACTTAGAGTCCTAATATTTTTTGACCTGATAGCATTTTTTCATTTTTTATGCTCTCAGGTGACTGAGAAATATAGTAGATTAATTAATTATACAAGAATGCAGAATGATACCTTTGTTGAGTTGCGTGTGTATATATGTACATATATATATATATATATTTTTTTTTTTTTAAAGTAGGCTCTATGCCCAACTTGGGGCTTGAATTCACGACCCCAAGATCAAGAGTCGTGTGCTCTACTGACTGAGCCAGCCAGGCACCGTGAAACGCTCATAATTTTTTTGTATGAGGTTGAGGGAGAAGCTGGGGGAGGTTTGAAAAACAAAAGAATATTCCCTTAAGTGACCACAATTTAAGTTTATAAAAATATTTTCAACCTATTATATGCCTACCTACTTCAAGTAATTAAAGTACACAACACTATATTTTCTTTATAGTTTTGGAGTTCCATTAATTACAAAGAACTTTAACTTAATTTATACTTGTAATAGGAGATACTCTAGAGCTTGTTCTCTTGAGTTAGGCCCAGAGAAGACTTTATTACCTTGTATTCCCCTCTTTTCCTTCTGCATGCCCTTATAAAAGTAGACTTAAGTGCATAAAGTTGATTGACCTTTAGGACATTATAATTACATGGCTACTTTTTTTGCAAAATTAAATCACAGGGCAGAAGTGGCTTACGTTGCTTTTTTGCTGTTAATAAAATTATCAACTTTAATTTGTAATTATTGTTTTTTGACTCCTAGCAGCATTCAAAGCATTATTTGGTTTTAGCTGAGAAACCACTTGAAGTTACTGTGTTTCAGTCCACTCCTTGTCATTTGAAATATCACCATCCTGTGGATTTTTTATTTTATTTTAAAGATTTTATTTATTTGACAGAGAGAGAGAGACCAAGTAGGCAGAGAGGCAGGCAGAGGAAGAGGGAGAAGCAGGCTCCCCACTGAGCAGGGAGCCCGATGCGGGGCTCGATCGCAGGACCCTGGGATCATGACCTGATCCGAAGGCAGCCGCTTAACCGCCTGAGCCACCCAGGCGCCCCATCCTGTGGATTTTTAAGATGCTGTCTCAGTAGATCCTTAAAAGAAGTTTGTGATTTTGCATCTGAAAGCACACCTGGAGCTTTGCTCCTTGGGCATTTTGGCAGTGGTTATATTTCTTGGGGTCACTAATTATTTGCATAGGATATATCCTGTATTACTGTGTTGCTGGCTGTCATTTTCCTATGAGGTATGCTTAAAAATTAATACTAAATCCCCGTAATGTGGTTTTGAATGAAAACCCCAAGTAATCACTCCCCTAAACCTTATATTTCCTAAACCCTCATCTGTTAGCTTCATCCGAATCACTTAGAACTTTTGTTAAAAACATGTATTTTTTAGTCCCACTCCAGAGCTACTGAGAGTGACTCTAAATGTTAGGGAAGTGGAAGTTGGTTTGTAAGCACACAACGTGATTCTAATATTTTAACCAGGTTTGGAACCATTTCCTGTTAAAACTATTCATGATAAGAAATTATATTTTTAAAGTTTCCTAAGAGATTGATTATTGGGTCAATTATTTTAATACTTTTGTTATTTACAGTGTTAAAAGGACCTGAACAAAGTCTGCTCACACCTCCTGCTGTGAACCAGCAGAACTTTTGAACAGGTGAGTGTTGAAGGGAAGCACAGAGCTGAGGGCTTATGCAAACATAATTTTTGCATTTAAGGTTTCAGGGGTTTTTGTCCTGTTTTTTTTCCTGAGGTTATAGATACTTCTCGGGTACTGCTCAGATTTCTTATGAACCATAAGAATAATCATGCCCTTTCTGCATTGATCCTGGTACGGAATTTGTGTCTTAAACTGTTGTAATGATTTTCTGATGGCGTGAAACAGGAAGAGGAATGCTTTGGGGGCAGGAGTAAGGAGGTATCTTAAAGAACCCGAGGGCTGTTGGCGTTCACGAAGGACGTGAACCAGAAACTGGGAAACATTGAAGAGCCAAGACAGTCCAGATAGCACTTACCTCCCTGCTGGCTAGTCAGTGTCCTCTCTTGTCTCTTTTTAGCCTGCTTTGTCTTTTCACAAGCTGTCGTTTTTCTGCTTTAACACATGGGAAGAAAATCACCACTTTATTCCTGGAACCACATATGAACTCAAGCTCTAGTGCCACTAGCCAACTGGTTACTAACTCATTGTCCATGTTTCAAATTCTTGGGAGGGAAAATTTGATTGGTTGAAGTTTGTCCAATTCTCTATCATTGGTCTAGTTAGTACGGCCATAGGGTTGGAGTCTAGAAGTACAAACATAATTGAAAGATCCCACTTCCAAGAGTGGATGCAGGTTGCAGAGAAGGTTAGTGTTGGCTCTTCTAGGCAGAAACCCACAGAACCTTTTGGATGTTTTTCCTTTCCTAGAAAAATTCCCTGTAGATAGGTTGGCAGTTTCAGTTTATACGTCCTGAAGAGTTAAAATATATGCGTATCTTTTGGTCAGTGAGGCCCAGTAGGTCTCATAGAGCATCCTTGTTTGAACTTCCTAGTGCAATGTTTTAACAAAAGTTCTTGATTTAGGGAGATTCAGAGGAGTGTTTGTGAAAAAGGTTTAGCAAAATGAACATAAGCAAGTGAGAGGCTTGGTTTGTGGAAAAATTCATTGGTTATTTATTTTTCATTGACTGCTTTTATAAATTTTAATTTCTGGGTACTTTTTATAGTATTAAGCACCCTTGAGTATTAGGAAGCCATGGAGAATTTGAAGGGTGGGACTTGCTATATGTGAACATATACTCACATTATTTGAGTGGTAGCAGGGATTTTTCACTGTTGAGAAAGAATCAGTGAGATAGAGTATAAACTTTTGTATTGAAATGTTTTTGTATTCTAGAATTATTAGGTAATACTGAAGCAAGCTTTTTTTTTTAATGGAGCGTTTTGAAGCCCTGTTTATTTTTGTTTATAGCTTGTATATACTTGGTGACATCTAATTACTTCATTTTTTTATGACTTAAATCTTGTTGGTATATTAGTATATTGAGATTTTTGATGCAAAGCGTAGGGATTACTAATAAAAGTTATGTATTGTAGAGTGATGTATCCAGTGACAGGCCACAGATGAGAGTTCCTATACTTTTTTTTAGCCAGGGTTTCTTCAGCAGATTGCAGCTGAATTCATTTTTAAGGTAGAATAGCCTTCTCTTTATGTATGTTTTCTTTAATCTGGATTTTGAGGTAAGGTATATTCAGGCTTATTGAGTTAAGGCTTTGTGAGGTTTAAAAAGATTTCCACATAATCTATATAAAACTTCCACAGGCTTTGGGGATCCCTCTCAGGAAAACATTGGCTTGTGATGAGATTATCAAATGACATCGTAATGTTTATGGCATTGTAATTTTTCCTAGAATAGGTTACTAGTTGCTAATTTTGTTCTTTAACCAAAAGGGAGAAAACTAGAAATGTTTACATATTGTTCAGAAGCTGTGGGGAGAATGACAGTTACAGCTTTTCTTCTTATAGTGATATTGTGGCCAATATGTTCTTTGAGAACAAAGCTCCTTTTCAAGTTTTCCTGGGCCTGGAGGAAGTCTTGGGAACTCTGGTCTCTTCCGTATTGGTTTTTTGGTTGCAGTTACTGATAAGATTTGGCAGAGGTACTGTCCCGGTACCTTCTAATTGGTAAATCATGGCTCAGGCCTTGAAGGCATGGTCATATGCAGGGGCTCTCATGATTAGCTCCTTGAGGATTGAGGTGATATCGCCCACACCATGGTTAATTGAGGGACTGCATATGAAACCATCCTGTAAGGTCAGTGGGTCAGAGAGCCTTAGTTTATCTTTTGCAACCTGACACTCTTCTTTAGTCTTTTAAACTATTTCTCCATTTTTTTGTTTTTAAGATTTTATTTATTTATTTGGCAGAGAGAGGAGAGAGCCCGCACAAGGGGGAGTGGCAGGCAGAAGGGAAGCTGGCTCCCTGCTGAGCAGGAAGCCTGATGCGGGACTCAATCCCAAGACTCTGGTGGGATCATGACTTGAAGGCGGACACTTAACCACTGAGCCACCCAGGTGTCCCCCCACTATTGTTAATGAAGTTTCTGATAGTGTGTTGGGAGAATCTATTCTCTTCCCTACCCAGAGGGCTTACTATATTGCTTAATTGAGTGATGCAGAGGGGTAGATACAGTTGAAGGATAGTGGAACAGAGTGGGAGATTGGGAAAAGGAGAAAAAGTGACTTCCACAAAATGAATTCCTCTGAAAATTGCAAGGAAGTGGAGAAAAAAAGGTAATCAAGCAGTATTGAGCACTGTTATCATTATGTAGTGATAAGTTTGTGGCTTTTTAAGGCAGTGAAATGGGAACGCCTGGGTGGCTCAGTAGGTTAAGCGTCTGCCTTCGGCTCAGGTCATGATCCCAGGGTCCTGGGATCGAGCCCTGTGTTGGGCTCCCTGTTTAGTGGGAAGCCAGCTTCTGCCTCTCCCACTCCCCCTGCTTGTGTTCTTCTCTCGCGGTCTCTTTCTGTCAAATAAAGAAAATCTTAAAAAAAAAAAAGGCAGTGAAATGTAGGTTTAATTTTCTGTTAATACTTGTAACTTTAGGTAAATAAGTTAACCTTTTGTAGTCTTATTTCCTTTACCAGTCTTATTTCTGTTAATTAATACTTGTAACTTTAGGTAAATAAGTTAACCTTCTTGTAGTCTTATTTCCTTATTTTCCTTGTACCTTATTTCCTGTAAAGTATATCCCATAGTGGTTGTGGGAATTAAAAATCTCAAATGCCCTGTGTAATGCCTGGCACCCAGTAAATGGGCTCTCAGTAGATGGTAGCTTTTATTGTTACTGCTATGTAAATAGGTACATTTTAATTATAAAATTTCATCCTTATAATCTGAATAGAGACATCAGTGAGTTTTCTTTGTAAGTCTTTTTTGTTTTGTTCTCAAGCCAACCAATATTTAAATAGCTGCTTTGTGATGAGTCCTGGGCTAGCCATAGTGGTGAGCAAAAAACACAAGGACCTATCTTCATGGGGCTTATAGCCTAGTGACAGAGTCAATCAAAAAATCATATAAGTAAATTTCAAAATGTGAAAAGGCTCTCTGTCCTTGGAAAAGATACATTTTTAAGACCTAGATACTTTTTAAGTAAGTGTCGCGTTTTGGATCTTGGTGTTCTTGTTGTCAGTGATATTTTATGCCTCTTGATAATGCTTTTCAGGGTATGTATGTTTGTTCTAAGTTAATTTATGTATTTCTTTTGTCATTTTTTTCTTTTTCTCTGAGATAGACATTCTCAACTTTTTGATCTTAGGACTCCTTTCTCCTTTTAAAAGTTAAAAGGACCCCAAAGAGCTTTTGATTTTAGTTCCACGTGTCTGTATTATATTGAAAAATTTAAAACGATTTCTTCATTTAAAAATAATGGTAATCTCATTACATGTTAACATAAATATATTTTTAATGAAAAACACCATTTTCTAAAATATTTTTAAATTTGGTGAAAAGAGTGGCATTGTTTTACCGTTTTGCAAATTGCTTTTATGTCTTACTTTATGGAAGGCAGCTGAATTCTCATATCTGCTTCTGCATTCAATTAGTCGCTGTTTATTACTTCAGTTAAGTATGGGAAGGACATTCATCCTCACAGAGATATTTATGTAGTTGGAAAAGGGAGGAATATTTTAAGATCTTTTCCAAATAATTGCAGTTATTCTTGTATACCAAAATTTGACAAATAGTTTTTAAAGGTTAGTTGTACTGTGAAATTTGAATTATATCAATGCACCTTTTATATTTTGTTACATTAAAATCCATTGGTCTATCTCCCACCTTAAATGAATATTTTATATAACACAGTATCAAAAAATTGCATTCATATAAATCATTACCCATCAGGAAAGCCTTTAATTATTGGGAAAGTCTTAAGTACTGGAAAACCGATCAAACCCATGATGGTGAAGAGTTTTCCAAAATTCTTTTTTTTTTTTTTAAAGATTTTATTTGACAATGAGAGACACAGCGAGAGCAGGAACACAAGCAGGGGGAGTGGGAGAGGGAGAAGCAGGCTCCCCGCTGAGCAGGGAGCCCGATGCTGGGCTCGATCCCAGGACCTTGGGATCATGACCTGAGCTGAAGGCAGACGCTTAATGACTGAGCCACCCAGGCGCCCCATAGTTTTCCAAAATTCTAATTTTGCTTGAAAGCTCAGATTTTATTTTTGGCAACAAGTACTGACAATTGTTTTTGTTTTTTGTTTTGTTTTTGAACAAGTGACAGTGTCAGTTCATTCATTTTTGAAAAAATGTCTGCTAAATACCCAGGTCTTTTTGTCAGTTACTCTTTCACTGCTTTGCATGATCAGTGCAGTGTCAACACTGAAAAGTGCAAATAATATCTTAGTATTGTTATAGTAGTAGTTTTGACATCATGGATACCTTGAAAGAGTTTCAGAAGACATTACTTTGAATTGCTCTTCTGGGGAGTGGAACAGTTTTCAGTGTTTTATTTACATATGATACATAGGTTTTTTGTTTTGTTTTTGTTCTTTAATTATTTTTTTAAAGATTTTATTTATTTGAGAGAGAGAGAGAAAGAAACAGCATGAGAGGGGAGAGGGTCAGAGGGAGAAGCAGACTCCCCGCTGAGCTGGGAGGTCGATGTAGGGCTTGA